CAGCATCAAGCCGGTGGCTGGAAGGTATTCGGAAGTGGTATTACAGTGCTGCAGGGTTCAGTAAGCTGGGCTTAATGCGAGATGATACAATATATGAAGATGAAGATGTAAAAGAAGCCATAAGAAGGCTTCCAGAAAACCTTTATAATGACAGGATGTTTCGCATTAAGAAAGCCCTGGATCTGAGCATGAAGCATCAGATCTTGCCTAAGGAGAAGTGGACAAAATATGAGGAGGATAAACTCTACCTTGAGCATATCTCAAAGAGGTTATTTGGGAAAGAAAAAAATGAGAAGAATGGGCAAAGAAGTCATCACTTGGTGAAGTCTGTGAATGCAACTGTCTTCAAAATATTTTTATGAACTTGAAACAGTTAACCCTGAAACCGTTCAAAAATTATCTGGTCTGTGGATACCGTACCTTAAATAAATGCCTGTTTTATTAAAAAAAAATAGAAAAAGAAAAAAGAAAATTAGGCATATCAATGAATAGCAATACAAGGGCCCTTTTTCAGATACTAGTTGGAACAACTCTTCTGTAAAAAGATTCTAGGCTGGGGAGATAGTTCAGTGGTCTAAGCGCCTGCCTGGCAAGTACAAGGACTCGAGTTCAATCCCTGATACCACATGGCATGCCAGCCCAGAAACCAGGAGTGGTGGCACATACCTGTAGTCCCAGCACTGAGGAGGCTAAGGCAGAAATATCACTACAAGTTTGAGCTGCATAGTGAGACCCTGTATCCAATAAATAAATAAAAATTTTAAAATATTTTTTAAAATGATGCTGGGCTCATGAGATAGCTCAGCAGACTATGTGCCTGCTTAGGCAAGCACATGGACTGGGGTTCAATCTCCAGCACCATAGGTAGTACCCGCAATGCCCCTGGGTATGCTGAGTCGGTCCCTGAGACCAGGCATGGTGGTTCATGCCTGTAATCCCAGCACTGCAGAAGCTGAAAACAGGAGGCTCACTCTAAGTCTGAGGTGTGTAGTAAGATCTTGTACTATATATACATAAGTATATATATATATATATATATATATATATATATATATATTTTAAATGCTTATTGGGATAACGAGAAATCTGAACATTAACTAGGTCAGATGATAGTAGTAAATTTTCAACAAGTTGTCTTTTAAGTGACATGGTATTGTGGCTATATTTTTAAGTCTCATAGAGATGTATATAAATGCTTTTACTCAGGAGGTTGCTCTGGTTCCACCTCTGGTTCTGGTGCCTGGGGAGGCTTTCACTGCCAGCAGTCAGTCATCAGGGTTGGTGCAGAATAATGGGGGCAAGATGTGCAGAATCTTCCGGCTCTTTGACAGATTGCCCAGAGGACCTTCAGCGTTGTGGCTCCCAGCCATTTTGATAATAAATTTCCACAGAAGCAGAAGATTTGGGGAAGACAATGGAATTCCAGTGTATCTAAAGGGTGGGGTAGCTGGTACCTTCTTGTTTAAGCCATTGTGATTCTTACAGTTGATAGAACCAAGTGTACCTTATATCAATGGGTTATGGCTTCATTTCCCAAGAAGCCAGACTGACTTCAGTCATCCCAGAAATCACATGGCTCAGTTCCAGTCAGCTCTGGGATCTGACCAGTTATTTAATGCAATAAATAACTGAGCTCTTCTTTTAGGGATCCATATTTATCAACTTGTACTATCACCAATAAAGCGATTTTTACCAAAATAGAGCTTTTACTGCTTAAAAAAAAACCTGATATTTTCTTTAACTTATATTATCTACAGGGGAAAAAACAGTGTAGATGAAATAAAAAGAACATAATTGTCAGTGGTTACTAGGGCTGGATGGAAGAACCACTGGCATTCATTTTGCTATTCTATTTTGGAGCATCGTGGGAATTTCCATTATAAAGTATTTGAAAGGAGGGCAGGACAACAGGGGGCCCAGCGGAACTTACATTGATGATCTGTTCGTGGAGCAGCCTGATCATAACCTTCCTTCCTTCTGTGATCTGCCAGTAAAGATAGGTGATGATTCTGGAAGAAAAGAAAGAATGACAGGCATTTTCTCCAGTATTTTCAAGGCTCTGAATGTCAACCGGGGTGCCAAAGAACTGCATTTTTTTTTTCAATTAGGGTTTTTTGCCTCAAATGTATTTCTGAAAATTCATTTTGGGGTGAGTTGCAGATTAGAGTAATGGTTCTCAGCATGCACATGGAATCACCTCAGAGGGGAGTGAAGTAAGAGCCCTCCTCAGATCAACGATGCACAGGTCTGGGCATAGAGCCAGACGATCCTGATATGCAGCTAAAGTTGTGAATGTGGACAGAGCCACCCAGATTTCCAAGTGGCACTGACTATGGTGGCACACACCTGTAATCCTAGCACTCTGGAAGCTGAAGCAGAATGCTACCAGGTCAAGCCAAGCCTGGACTAGACAGTGAATTCAAGGCCAGCCCAAACTGCCTTATCTCAAAACAAGAAAGAACGAACGAATGAAGGAACGAAAGAAAGAAAGAACAAACGAACTTCCAGTGAGTGGCACACATTTCTTGGGAACTTATTAAATGTATTTTCTGATTTAATACTTCTGGGTTAGAGCCTGCAATTCTGTATTTGCAACACAATCCCTGTATAATAAAGAAATACGTTTGTTCTTTGTCCTTAGTTCCTAGCACACAATTCCTAAATTCTTGGACTCTCTAGAGTATCTTTCGAATGGGAATGAAATACATGGTGTCTGGGCATCCCTAGATGGCTTTAGGATGGAGCCAGTCTTCAGAAAGACTAAAGCATGATTAAAGAGTGGATTTTTTTTAAAAAAATACTTTCTTTCTTCTTTTTAAAAAAAATTTATTTATTTGTGTGTGTGTGGGGGGGCAGCTCAGCCCACCAGGGGGTGGGGCTGACTGGCATGTGGTGCTGGGGGATTGAACCGCGGTCTCCGTGCTTTGCTAAGCTTGTTCTAAGTAGGTGCTTTAGACCACTGAGCCATCTCACCAGC